AGATTGGCAGGGGAAACCGAAGTACTCGGAGAAAACCTGCCCCAGCGCCACTTTGTCCACCAGAAATCCCACTTGACCAGAGCCGGGATTGAACCCGGGCCTCCGCAGTGGGAAGTCAGCATCTAAACGCTTGAGCTATGGCGCAGCCTCTGTACGACTACTAACTTGCTTACTGTGCATTAAGTCAAATGCCTAGTCACAGACGAAGCTCCGAACATGAAAGCCGTCAGAGCTATCCCACAATTTGAGCAGCAATAAGGGCAATGAATTGGCATTGTACAGAGTATTTATGAACTGGGATTGTATACAATCTCCAAAACTGTCGATTAAACGAACAATGCAAGCCACACTACACTCTATTTCAAACTAAGGGCTCTGCTTAGCCTACCTACAACATAAACAATACTGGATAAATACAAAATCCAGGTTTCAGGATACTCCGCTAAGTAAACGCTTTTCATGAAAATGACTGCAGATCACAGGAGGCGGGCTAGCGTACTCGGTATAGCGACTGGCTACGGGCTGGACGACCGAGGGTTTGGAGTTCGAGTCCCGATAAGGTCAGCAATTTTCTCTTCCCCACGTCGTCCAGTCCGGCTCTGGGATCCACTCAAACTCCTATCCAATGGGTACCAGGGGCTCTTTCTCCGGGGATAAAGCGACAGAAGTGTGAAGCTGGCAACTCACCTGCAGCTGGTGCCGAGGTCGACAAAATATGGATCTATACATCCACTCTCCTATATGTCTTCATGGCGTAGTGCTTAATTAGTTAAGCATAGGGACAACTTTACTATAATTTTACTTTATATGACAGCTGATGACACTACTATTGACAGGTCTGTCACTATATGCAATCAGCCCGCGCTGGGCACAGTCGGCGCACTGTGTTGCCATATTCTCATACATCACCGTAACGATTTTATTGCGTCGAGAAATATTTTCAGTGTTCAAAATATGTCCGAAACTTGTGCCACAAGGAGCTGTTGTCGAAACGTCTTCTGTGCAGCGGCGGACAATGTGGGTGAGCCTTGTGAGGAGAATGAGCAATGTACGGCTTTCCTGATGACGGCGACGTGTGGAGCAGACGGACTCTGCACTTGCTCCCCTGGCTACCACCACATCACGCCCAACAGCAGGTGTTTCAGGGACGTTGGTAAGTTCGCACGTTGAGCGATGGCAGAGCCACCAGCCGTGGCGGCGGGAGATCTATTTAACCACTGGTTCCCCGACATTCTGACATGGCGCCTTCATTCTGGTTTTGACCAAACCCTAATTTCCTCGCCAATTTTTATTAAAAATAATGTAAACCTTTGCACTCGCATTTATACGACTGTCTACGATAATTCGCAATTAGTATTGTCTTGTGTGTGAGTGACTATAGACGGAGTTTCGATTGGCAACTCGATTTATTGACCATTCCATTTATACACACAACTCCTAGCTAAAAAAAAGACAACGGATAAAAAACTCTGTGTTTTTAGCCCTCAAGCGAACTATATCGACCGAGCTACCGACGCTTGTCGGTGAAGTTAGTGCAAACTAACCGCCCCTCTGGTCTAGCGGTCAGAGTTCCTGGTTACAGATCCAGAATTCCGGGTTCGATTCCCGGCGCTACCAGATTTTTCTGAGAAGTAGTGGGTCTGGAAGGGGGACCACTCAGTCTTGTGCGGATAATTGATGAGCTATTTAAAGGAAATAGCGGCTACGGTCTAGAAAACTGAAATTAACGGCCGTGAGGATTCGTTGCGCTGACCACGCGATACCCACTATCCGCTAAAGTTTGCAACAATAATATATTTTTTCTGCAATAATAAGTATTGAGGTAAATAAGGTGTGCAATTTTAAAAAAGAAACCGTAAGGAAGTATAGGTACTCCGAATTTAAGTATGTTCCATTTTACTTCGTAAACGTAGGGATTTCAATTGTCAACAAACGAAACGCGCAAACGCGAATGTCACTTACGGCTACCAGTAAGAATTCTTTCGATTTACATAAGAAAACTGCCATGTTTTTGGAAGTTATATTGGGTCTCAAGGAGAAAAGGTCAATAGTCTGGGGGGTCATAGTATTGGCAAAAAGAAATATGCATGTACATGTATCCTATTCTTAAACGATTCCGAGATTGAGTTATTTCACTGTACAGTTTGAAACTGTTAATAAGAAAGAGATATCACGTGCTGTTTCTGATACCGGTATTTATTGTTCAAGTAACAAAGTTGGTACAGTTTACCTGGTATAATACTGTTATATTTTAGCGTCCTGTTGGACTGATTTTCATCCATTATATGTATACAGTGGCCGTCTTGTAGTGCACTCAATTTCACCTGTCACTTCACAACATGTTTCGGCAACATAGTGCCATCATCAGGTGTCCCAACTACGTCAATCTATTGCATTGCTTGCCCTCATATGTTTTCACAACACCATTTAAAAAGTATTTAAAAAGTCCGTATTTGTCAACTAAGATAAATATACACTCGCTAATACTTGTTAAGATAATTCATCTTATTTGTCTTAATTAAAACTTGCATGTGGTTCGTTCGCTACGGGGTTGTTTTTCTTATTTTCTGTGTAAACCGCGTCTTGTGACGTGTGTTCCCTTCTTAGCTGCGAGTGTTGTGTTGAGTGCACTACAAGACGGCCACTGTATACATATAATGGACTAGTATAATACATTTTCGAAAATTCTACCGTAAACATCAAGGCACTTAACTCGTG